AGAATAAAAGCCAACAGATGGTTTTGGTTTTTAATTTTGTTTGCTTTTTCACTGCTGTGTCTCTAAGCCAGATACACCAAAATCAGAAAAACACAAAAATAACTAACATGAATTAAATTCGCCATTAGCAGGAAACAATAAAAAAGACACCCATATTAAGATTAATAATAAAAATACCCATTGAGTTTTTAAAAAATTACGCTAACAGCATTTTGATACATTAAGGCAATAATCTGCCATATAAAAGCTTGTGGTTATAAAATAGAAAGTCAAACGGTTTTTAAAATGTTGTAGAATCCAACAGTTTTCATCTCACTATTTGAGGCATAACTAAACGAAGCCTCTTTAGGACTGAGCCAGGCCACTAATCCTAGAGCAGTTTTACTGATACCGACTGCTGATGTTCCCTGTGATTGTAGGTAGGTAGGTTTTTTTTAAAGAGAGGACCATAGAGTGTGAAATCTCTATGTTCCACTCTTCAATAACGTGCATCAAAGTCCCAAGAAATAATTATAACCAGCAATAAAAAGTATTCTTACCCAATCTTGGCATAACAGCCCCCAAAAACTGTTCATCTTCTTGGAAATGATTTTCTTGCAAAGATTCGAGCAATTTCTGCAAAATGTCCTGAGGCACTTTACAGCCGGTGCCTTTAAGTTCCGTGAATCGGGTTAACCGAAAACTTTTGTCAAGTTCATAACTTTCTGGATTAAAGGACTCCCGAACAGACATGATTCTCACACTGTTAGTAACGGCAGTTTTTCTTCTTCTTTGTTAAATTGGTTGAGTTGTTATCCTATGTTTAAAAAAAAATACAAACATATAGCATAAAAGTTATCTTTTATGGCAGTCGCATATTCTATATAAAAATGTGATCTCTCAACTGTTTTTGTATGGAAAATACATCAAAAGTCTTTGTGAAACAGCCTATTCGATTTCATTTTGTCTGCTAAATTGTACAGTGACAATCTAGTGGCGTTAAATTCGCCAGTGAAACCACTATGATCTTACTATATGTAATTACAAAACTGATTTTTGTTCTTAATCCTTGCATTTGTAGTACACTATATATAATTTAGAAATAAAAGGCCCTATAAACACTTTGAAATTCCTTATGAACACCAAAATACAATGCCTGTTCAAACAGACAACCTTTTTCTTTTCAGTTAGCCTGTAAGTGTTTTGTAGATGTTAATCCAGGGGTCCTCAAACTTGGCAACTTTCAGACTTGTAGACTTCAACTATATAGCTGGCTGGAGAATTCTGGGAGTTGAAGTCCACAAGTCTGAAAGTTGCCAAGTTTGAAGACCTCTGTGTTAATCCATGCCACACTGTGATGGTTGAGACCACTCCAAATATAGACCAATTCAGTTTCACTTAGTGCATGGATGTGGAATTATCAGGGGTTAACAGGGAAAAGAGCAATGAAGTTAGAGACAAATGAATTACTGATGGTCATATCAGAATAATTCAGGAATCTTATGCAATTTGTTTGTTAAAACATAAAAATAGCTTTAAAGCTAAACAGTCAAAGGTTCAAAACTTGGTAAATCTTGTATTTAATTCAGACCTGCAGTTGAGCAACCACTCACAGGTTGTTTTTGTTTGCTGAAAATATTCCTGGTAACATTTTGTCTCCATGATAAGGACCACATCTATCAGATCATCTTCTCCATTCACACTGAGAATGGCCCATCCATAACATTTGGGTCTTGCCCAAAGTAAGCTTCAATGTGTTTTACCTTACACATATCCCAGAATTTCAGTCATCTTTTCACCATCTTGTTTCGGTTTTTCACCACATACTTGGAATTACAAATAATTTGTACAATGATGGCATTTTAGTCCAAGCTTCTGGATTATTTCTTCCAGCAGTTTAAGTGAAATAAAGAAGGCCCTGAATGATGCCAATCATATCAATTTTGGATCTATATCATCTATCAATAAGAGCTCAATTAATTTGCTACCCTAAATTCAGACAAGACAACAAGCTGGAATGGATCCAATTTGGAATGAATCCCGGAGAATCAATATTCTTCAAGACTATCTGAAAAATGACAGCTACCAGATGATTCTAGACCTTGATATCAAACAATATAGTGGCTACACTCATCTCTTATTACTTGAAACTAGGGCACTGGATATGAACAATTTTGTAAAATATTCTGTAATGGTAAGCGGCCAAAGAGGTTTTCAAAACTGGAATGTTGATCCAATGGGCCAGCAATAAACAATTTGGAAAACTTCAACTAACTGTACATTAAATGGGGGCAGCAAATAAACTTTATTTGCCACATTCTTAGTGACAGTGTATGTGCTAACTGCCTCTTTAGTTTTATTATATTTATTAGACCATCATTTTATCTGCCTTTCTGGCTCGCCAACTGTTATTCTGTTATTCAGAAGGGAAATGGGGGGGCAAATGTTGGTTTCCCCTTCTTTGCCTAAATTGTTAAAGCAGAGTGGGGGAACATGATCTAATCAGCTACATAGTTGACAGATCATTCATCAAACACCAAAAGATGCAAATACTTTGATCCCACATATTCTAGAGGTAGATTGGAGACCACACAATGCTGTAGATTCCCCCCCCCTCCTAATTTTGATGTTCTATGTTGTGAACTCTGCCAGTGTGTGAATAAAATAAATGTGTACTGCTTTTGGATACTGTTTATTCAATCACTGTTAAGTCTGAATGTTTAAGTTAACAATTCTCTTTACTGTAGTGAGTTGTAGTAAAATATTTGAAATAATCAATCCCTATTCACCAATTAGAAACCACTATGGCCCAAACATTGAGTCTCCAATGCGTATGTATTTTGCTATTAGGGTTATGATTGTGAAAAGATCCTTTGCATGTGAATTTGGAGAACCAGAGGAACAGAGAACACCAGGGAAAACAATGAACGTTAATGGCCAGGTCTGACTGCTTCAGACAGGGCCACAAGTAACATCTAACTGGAGCCTGTATCAAGATTGCTACTGATGTCTCCCCTAAATAAAACTGTTCTAGAGCACCACAAACTCTGGTTTGGCAGAAACACTACTCAGCTATGGGTACCTGGTCAAATATATAAATAGATGTAACTCTATTATTGCAAATTAAAAGTCTGAGTGAACATTACACTGCAGATTAGTTCTGGCAATCAATGAGTTACTATTTTGTGTCAATAACTACTTACATGAACAATTTCATTTGTTTCATTCCACAATCAGAGGGGGGGAAAACATGTTTTAGTTTACAGAAAACACAAGATCGTTACTTTCTGATTTGCTAAAGTAGCTCACATAAATAGGTATATGCATAAATAAGTGATTAGTTGAACATCAAAATAATCTCCCAATACTTGTGAATTTAGTAATCACATACTTTAATTAAATTCAATTAAAACTCCTTCCAATAAATGTCAGAGTTGTAAAATATTTGAAATCACAATCACATAAATATTTAGGAGAAAATATTATTGAGTTGCACCAGGTAAATTGGTAAGGGAACACAATTGAAATACTTCAAATGAAGAAAGTGATACTTGTAATCAAACTATATTTGGAACTGCTGTATTATTTAAGCTTATATCCAATCGCCATTACTACCTAAAATATTACCGTTCTATTATTATGTTATTAAATAACTAAATAGTTATACATTATTTACCAAAGTATATGTTTGATATATTCTGCAACAAGGGATGGATGCAAGGGCTGGATTCCCTACCCGAACACATGCTGCAATTTTAATATATTTCTGAACAGATACATTACATTCAATATGAATTTAAAACAAAGTGAATATATTTTAAGAGGCCAGTTAAATCCAAGAGAAAATTACACACAGGTTTACGTTCAACTGGATCATGCCACGACACAGCTGAAGTTTTAACCATCTCAAGACTAATAAACAGGAGCGATATTTTAACTATTTTCTTCTCTTTCCCAAATGAGGCAGGTCTTTGGGTTTTGGGCATACACACGTTCAGCTTTGGGCACTCTGTGCAAAAAAGTTTCACCACCACTGCTCTACAGGCATCCCAATTGACTGAATTGAACTGAATTGAAGAAGCTTCTTGGCTGAGAACATTTTCAAGGGGGGGGGGGAAACCCCTAAGAAAGACAATTTGCCTTTTGGAAGAAAAGCAGGATAGAATAGAAATAGAACAATAGAAAAGGTCAGAAAATAGAATAGGACAGAGGAAAGAAGAGATTAGTTGGAAGGGACCTTGTAGGTCATCTAGTCCAACGCCCTGATCCAGCAGGGAGACCTTTGAGACCGAGATTCTCTGTAGACCAGGCAACNGGTGCCGTCAGCCAGACAGTGTCGGCTGGCGGCTCCCCGGGGGGAGGGCCTTCTCTGTAGCCGCTCCGACCCTATGGAACGAACTACCCCCAGAGATCCGGACCCTGCCCACTCTCATAGCCTTCCGAAAGGCTTTTAAAACCTGGCTATTCCAGCAGGCCTGGGGTTGTTGACCTCATGACTGAGGTCCTGCCACGACAAGATTGGGTGTTTGATGTGGTTTTTAAATCTGTTTTTCCTCTGTTTTTTAATTCTTTATTTTTATAAAATTTATTGTCTCTAAGCCGCCCGGAGTCCTTCGGGATTGGGCAGCTTATAAATTTATTAAATACAAATACAAATAGTTCTAAAGTTATCACTGAAGCTGCAAGGTGATTTTTCGCTTTGTTTTGTTTACAGTATTATTTTAACCCAAACACTGAATACTGCAAAACATAGTTGACTATTTGGCATCCTGGAGGAGCCTAACCAAGTGTAACTTTTAAACAAGTCACAATTGAACCAACTGCGTCTTTGCAAGATGAACACCCTTAATAAATTTGCAAAGCTTCACCAGAAAAACATGCCTCGCTATTAAAACCCCCAGTCCAGAGCCAAAGGCAAACATTTAATTTCCTCACAGTTAACAACACATATGAGAAACAATTCAGAATTTTAGAAGTAGCTACCTCTTTTAATACTTTCAGCACCTTTTCCTTGGCATAAAATGCTCCAACTTACATTATAAACTCATTAGGCTGACAGACAGTTGTGGCCACTCCTCCTAAAACAATCCAAGGGTTTAATACTGTTTGACCACCAGTCACCGATGTTCCTGCCTCTTCCGCGGCATCTTTAAATCCTTGGATAATTAGAGGCATGATTTTATCCCTTTCCTTCAGAGAAAACAAAAACCCAAGTAGGAAAAATCAATGGCCTACAGTCAAGCATCTACCAATACATTTAACAGCTTACAAGCCACCCCAAAGGAAGTCATATTTCAACAACTGCTAAAGTTGAATCATCCCCTCACACCTGCGTATATACATACAGAAATAGTCTGCTTACTGAAACTTACACTTCCCTGAACCCCTGTGGAGTTAAAAAGAGCTGGATAGGTTCCGCTCAAAAGGCTGGATGAGGCCAGTTCTCGCAAATTAAATGAGAACAGTCAAGTTTGGCAAATTCTTCTTTACAGTAAAGCAGTGCCCCCCCCCCCAACCCCAGAATTTCTTATCAACACAATTAAAGGAACTTACCCTGTCTGTCATTTTATTACTGATGCCAAGAAGCATCAACATATTGTCACATTCGGTGACTCCCATGGCATAAAGATCACTGAGGACATTGGCACATGCGATGCGTCCCTGGAAAAAAGCAACACAAACAATTCTCACTGAACTGCGGTTTTAATGCTTAACCTGCTTCCCAAGCTAACCTTAAAAAGAGGCTGGGCGAGATCAAGAAATCTACCGACTGAAATTTGAGGTGGCAGACGGAAGAAGCAAAAGTGAATGAATGAAACAAATTAACAGAATTGCTATTATTGTTGCATTTAGCTCTGTTGTATACTGAGCAGACTAAGCACGACCCCAATTTATTTACTTATTGGGATACAAAACAGTTTTGACCATTAAAGCAATCTTAAATAGAACCAACAAGAAAACCAACAAGCCTTGAAAAATAACGTAAGTAAAAAATGATTTGTTTTAAACAAAAAACACATCACAGGAATGTGCAAAGCATTTAAGTGTAAGGGGATAAAAATGATCTAAATCGCTCTGGCAGCTCCATCTTAAAGCTTAGAACGGTTGCTCCAAGCGCTTTCTCAGACAGTGTGTAAGTTCATTGCACATATGACATCTCTCCTGGCACAACAAAGCAGCTGTCCAGGGGACACCACCAGAAATGCAACGGGTTGACACTAATATCAACATTCTTTCAGTATTTTGCCCAGTTCTATGCTTCACGGGCCTCATCACAGACAAGATACCCCCCCAAAATTTTGGCATCAATAGAGTGGTTTGTATATTATCTTCCATTGGGTAAACTAATAAACTCTGATTATTATTTTTTAAATTGTTAAAACCATCTGCTCTGACTGCTTAGACGAATGCTGTAGAATATTACTGAATTCCTATTCAGCGGTACCTCAGTACTCATCGTTAACCTGGGAGGTGCGATGATGACTAAAATAGTGAGTACCAAACAATTTTTCCCCGTAAGGAATAATGTAATGTGATTCACAAGGCAGCCAACAGCAACATGGGTTGAGTACCAACTAAACAATGAGCACAAGGACAAATTTTTAATGTCAAAACGTGTTGGGTACTAAAAGCAATGAATTTCAAGGGAGTTGAGTACCAAGCTACGACCGTCATTTAGTTAAGAATAGAAATAATTTAAATGCTCAAACCAAGATCAGTCTCCAGCTGGGGGAGCGGGGAGGAATTTCTTCAAAGGCCTGGTAGTTCCAGACAAAACCCCGAGAAAGACTACCAGGCCAAAGCCAGGTGAAATCGATAGCCTGACATCCATCCCCATTCCTCCAGAGTTTTTATTTGACAAAAAGTGACCAACATTCTAACATTTTTCTTACCATCATATAAGGGTCGTCCACAATGGGATAAATGTAGTCTGTTGTCTGGACCAAGGACAGACCTCCGTGTCTCAAAGGAATAACACAAGTATCCATGCCAATCCCTGTAAGAAAAGTAACTCGCTTTATTTTTCAGAATATCGGCCCGTCTTTGTCCTTTCTGCTTCTACATATTCCTGGCAGACAGGGCCACCCGAGCCCCGCGTGTCCCAGGGTGGCTCTGAATGAGAGTTCAGTGTTTCTTTTCTCATCCATGCTGCAGCATTGTTCAGCGCTGTCTTCCCAAGGGCTCTTCACAGAAAAAGTGCAACCTGCACCAGGCTACATAATGATTATTATACGGGCAGTCCTCGACTTACGATCGCAATTGAGCCCAACATTTATGTTGCTAAGTGAGAAATTTGTTAAGTGAGTTTTGCTCTGTTTTATGACCTTTCTTGCCACATTTGTTCAGTGAATCCTTGCAGTTGTTAAATTAGTAACACGATTTGCTAAGTGAATCTGGCTTTCCTGTTGACAAAAGGGGATCATGTGACCCCGGGACATTGCAAGTGGCATAAATATGTGCCAGTTGGTAAGCATCTGAGTGTAAATCACGTGACCACGGGAATGCTGCAACGGTTGTTAAGTGTGAAAAATGAGTCACTTTTTTCAAGGCCATTGTAACTTTTGAGTGGTCACTAAATGAACTGTGGTTAAGTCAGGGACCACCTGTAAATAGATCTACTAAGGCAAATTTTCTTTTAAGAAGTTTCGGTTTCTCCTCCTGTCGCAACAGCCGTACAAACACTTCTTAAACTGCCTGACAACTACATGACTAGGAATGCAGTTCTTTCTCTATTATCATAGGCTCCACTTTCCTCTTTACCTGATGAATTTAACAGACACAGATTTTTCATGCAAACCTGTTCGATTTTCCGTACTCTAAAAAGCAATATAAAGCACGTTTTGAAATTAATCAAAAGGTCAGAACCTCCGTCAAAACTGCTCCCCAGAAGGAAAATTATATTTTTCGTAAAATGGAATAGATCAGTACATGAAAGCTAAGGCGCTTTCAGATGGAATTCATCTTCCAGTGCATGAATTTTGATCGTAGGACCATAGGGGTATTGCTAAAGACAGAATTTTGGGCACGGGTTGCCAGTCTATTTTTTCAGGATCGTCATAACCTTGAACAATTGCTGAATAAATGGTCGTAAGTTGAGAACTACCTGTATCTGGATTATTAGAATAAAAGCCAACAGATGGTTTTGGTTTTTAATTTTGTTTGCTTTTTCACTGCTGTGTCTCTAAGCCAGATACACCAAAATCAGAAAAACACAAAAATAACTAACATGAATTAAATTCGCCATTAGCAGGAAACAATAAAAAAGACACCCATATTAAGATTAATAATAAAAATACCCATTGCGTTTTTAAAAAATTTAAAAAAACAGCATTTTGATACATTAAGACAATAATCTGCCATATAAAAGCTTGTGGTTATAAAATAGAAAGTCAAAC